GCTGGACTGAACTTTCGACCGAGGGATACTCGGGGACTTGACTAGGGGTAGAGACGCGAAGCCGAGGGTCCCCGAGGAGACGCTAGCAAAGGTGGCAAGACGACTGAATTCAGAGGATTTCAGAGGGCTCCTCGTGGGTCTCCAGGCCTGCTAACTTGGCGTCGTTTCCCACGGTTAGCTCGCCAAAATCCCCTGACCAAGCATGTCATATCCGTCAGGACTCCGAAATCCTCGGAAAGCAACAGGTTAGGTTGCCATCCCGTGGACCTTGGTCGCCCAAACCAAAACCGTCGTAACTCCAATATTTCGTTATAATAAACTTCCATCGCCTTGCTAAGGCGCAGGGATACAACTATTTGAACTCCCCGGAACGCGTGAGGTATGACGCCTCATTTGAAGGCGTTTTCGAATCTTCTGTATTTGCATGACGAGATTTTCCAAATTTTTTTGCATTATATTGTAGGTTTGAGTTCCTTTATTATTTAGTTAAATTATTCCTGCTTCTTAATTCTTAATTATTCTGCAACAATTATCTTTTTGTGAAGTACAATCCTGGCTTACAATCCTGGAAAAAGAAATACTAAGTCACAGGCTTTCGACGTAGGTGAGAGCCGATTCTCTAACATTTTGACGTCTATCGGTGAATGCCTTCCATGATGCCCGTCCTGACCTTGGCTTGAATCTGGTTTCCAGTGCTCTTTTGAAGTCTGCCCAATTCATTGCCATCAGTTGTTCCTGATTCTGTTCGTAATAGGTTTACGCTGGTCCATGTAGGCTTAGGTATGTGTATTGTTGCGCTACAGCGTCCGTCCAGCCTCGGATATTCTTCCATCTTTCTACTGATGAGATGAGCTCATCAACTTTTTTGGCCGATTCCCCATAGTACAATGGAATCCCTAACTTTTTGGGGTCGCCAATAATTACGGGTGCGTTTTGTTGTTGAGCCATGTTGTGATTCAAAAGCAGTTGTGGCTGGGCTAATGGGTTATTTTGACTTAGGTTCGGTTGGTGGGGTTGGTCGTTATGGTTGTCAAAGTCAAAATTATTGAAATTCTCGATAACTATGTTGAGATCATCTTCGTAGTCTACGTTGAGAATTGATTTTGTCGATGATCTGAATGGAGAGACTGTGGTTGACGGGTATGTATTTATGGTAGTCCTGTGATTGTCCCAGTGCGGTCCCGGTGGGGTGTCACCCGAGTGGCGGGTGGCAGGTTAGTCTCGCCGTCCTATTGTTTTGCTGCGGGAGGGGTCCTCAGTTGGTCCCTTAGATCGCAAGTTGCGAAGTCAATAATGCGTCACTTTTTTGTAGCATTTCTTGCTGCAACACTGAGTAAGAGTATTGTGAGTTTTCTTACCAATGGTTTTCCCTTTCTTAGTTACATATTCCTCTCCAGAATTCCGTTTTATCTTCTTTTTATTTCTAACCCAATCGGCTTCATGTCTTGCTTTCTTCCGACCTTTTGCTGGGCTAGGAGGAGTTGATTTGGTTGGACTCGAAGGACCTGGTTGAGTGTTGTTTTCACTCATCTTTTGTTATCAATAACACAATCAGGTACTTCGTTTGCGAAAAACTGTCACTTCACGCTAAAAACCACTGTAAACTTTTGAAAGTTGAACTTGAAACCTCTGAAAACGATTCGACAACGCGCGCTGTCAACAAAGACTGTTATCAGTGTTGTTTGAGGTTAGGTACGTTCATTTTTAGCCAACCTAACAATAATAAAATTACTGTATCTCAGTGAATGTTTGACATAATAACATGAAAATTGGTACACCTACATTTTAGGATATGAGGATTCAGAAAAACCGGTCTCTGCAAAAGGGGCGTCATGGACCTAACGCCCCTTTTGCACCTAACTCCTCAATTGGAGCCCTCCGCGCCACTGACTCTGCGTATGCACACGTAAACTCTCCGGAGGCCCAAGTGTTGTTTTGAGAAGGTGCGTCCACCTCTGCGAGATTCCACGCTCTATTTCCGAATAGTCTGCTTCCAGCGCTCCGGAGTAGTTCCAGTTCGGTGCTTTTGTCATCGGGGATGCTGTCAATCCAATAGATTGAGCCTTCCTTCAAGTCATACACCACCATATTGTTTATGATTTCTTAATTGAACGCACCGAGTCGGGTAGGGAAGACAGAATTTTATTTTTAAAACATGGTGAGGAGCGAGAGACTCGTTACAAGCTACTAAACGGGGAGATTTCACAACGGATGGAAAGAACTGCGAATATGAAAAGTGCATAGCAATGCATTCCTTAGGTTCTACGTCGTTGCTACGTCTCATTTTAATGCTTAAATTACTCTCATTTCAACACGCCAATGCCCAATGATCGTGATGAATGAGTGCGCAGGCGGCGCGTTGCTTGAAGATTCGGGTTGATGCACTTCTATTTCTACAGGGTGGCTGGTAGGGGGCTGTTGCAGGGGTTCACCAAAACGCACTTCTCCTGTGACAGATATTCCGGAATCCCGTATAGGTGATGTCCAGAAAATTGACAACATTGTTTTTCCTCATTTAATCCTATGGGAATGTATCGATTCTTGGAGGGGCCAAGTGCTCCGACAAGAATCGATTATTTAACAAAGGTTAAATGGAGGAAATTGGATTTTGCCTATTTGCTGGAGCCGCCTCTGGTAAAATGGGTTTAGGGGCAGTCGTACCTCGAGAGAAGGAGTTTTTTGTCCGAATTTACCGATATTCCTCGCTACAAATTGCCGGATAATTGGGATATTACTTTAACTAGAAATGATGAGACAGAAGTTTGTAGAGTTTTCCTTCCTAAGATCTGTCTAAGTAGAAAAGTTTCAAAAATGCACCTTATTGATATGGCAACCCTTTAACGAGTTAAATTTACTTTCACAACTCTTTAAATTGCTCTTTTTTCAGTGAAACGATCATGTTCTAGACCGCTGATATCATGCATGCATTTGTGAATTTCAGCCAAAAATTGTTAACTTTATTAGAGAAACATGATTCCTCAATTCAACTGTACGCAATACTACTGAGTGATCTGCTACAATTCTAGAAAATAATTCAACGAACCATGTGAAACCTGTTGATATTTTTTATGTCTTCATGTACAGTAATACTGTGACCATGTGAAACCTGTTGTTATTTTTTATGTCTTCATGTACAGTAATACTGTGACCATGTGAAACCTGTTGATATTTTTTATGTCTTCATGTACAGTAATACTTTGGAAAAATAAAGTTTTTATTTATGTATTTTCTCTGTTTGTACAATTTTTTTAAGGATGGCGTTACGGTACCGTCGAATAAAACATAATAAAATAAAAACGACTTTTTAATAACTTGTCACCCCGTAATTGGACGTATGGACGTATTTCTGCCAAACGGAACTATGTGCATAAAGACACGAGCCCTGAGATTCATGAGGGTATGTGCGTAACAGGGCTCACGTTATAATGTACATGGTTCTGTTTGATAAAATTACGTCCAATTGATCGTGTTTGCCCGTCCGTTTTCTTGACGCAAAGTAATTTTTCCTTAAAAAAAAAATTCATGAGACGGGTGTTTTTGAAAACATTTTTGAAATGGGCTGAAAAACTCTTAACAGGTCATCATAATAATGAGCCTAGTCTCTGCCCTCGTGAAATAATGCAAAAATACTTTTTGAAAATATAGAGGAGGAGCGGAAATTTTGAATGAAGGTAGGTGTTTTTGTAGCCAGTCTCTCAGAAAGTGAATTTGAGTGTATATCCAGCACAGGTTTTGAAATAACCAGGAGACTTAAACACTCGGTAAAGAAAGTCAGCGACTGTTATCGCCGTGCAGAGAAAGAACGAAGATGTCTCATGATAAATAGCATGTTGCCGTATTTACCCTCTGTAAAATTTTTACTTTAATGGGAAGTTTTAAATATGGCCTACTGAAATTTTTAGGAACTTTCGATCAAATTGTAGCATTTCCACAGAGGTAAGTTAGCTCTCAAAAATTTACAATCACGTTTACTAGAAAATCCTCGGAGTTTGAATGAGGCGTGTTGCATCAAGGCAGCATTGCCAAATGGTGCAATATTTTCTACCAAAAATATTTCTACAAAAGCATCCATCGTAGATGTCAATTGCAAAATTACCACAGTTAACATTTCTGGACTGTACACCATTTTGCAACACTGCCGTGATGCAACATACAACATGGCCCATCCATATTTTGAGGATTTCATGGTAAATATGATTGTAAATGTAACGTAGACAACCACTTACTGAGAGCTAACAACTGCAGCTAAACGTTGTGCTCGAGAAGGCCAGAGCGCCTGCAATGTGTTGTGTATGCAACACAGACTTCTCGAGAACACGAATAGTTGCATCCGGACTGAGCCATTGAAAATGCTACAACGCCTTCAATTTTTTCCGCTCCTAATAATAAAATGTGTCATTCATCGCACTCTTACGTCGTCGCTGTGCGAGGATGGGATCTTTTGGGTTTTGAATGAAATTGAATTAATAAAAGAAAAGAGTATAACCAAAAATTAACTTCTTCACGAGTAAAAAAAAAAAAAAATTCAGACACCAGGAAAATAATTCCTACGTTGCAGGAAATATTAAATATAGCTCAGGACTCAATATGACTATTAGAGGAATACTTTTTGGTCTTTTCTGTTTTTTTTATTTTGTTTTTCGACGAGCAAGAAATGTTGTAATTATCAGTCAGTCTCCACTGACTGATGAATTTTTCTAAGATAAATGAGACTAAAAAATATAAATCCATTTCGATAATTTTATTTCCCTTAGTCCTAGTTTGAATAATTACAGATTTAGCAGAGACAAACCGAACATTCTTTGATTTTTCAGAAAGGGAGTCAGAATTAATTTCAGGATTTAATATTGTATGCAGAAGAACTAGATTTATAATATTCTTCTTATCAGAATATTCTAGTATCAGCATCAGGAGATACATTATCTTTTTCACGTTCAAGATGAGAAAAAAAAAAAAAAAAATCACTGAGAGAATGCAGACATAACTGGAAAATCATTTACCTGCCATTTCGAAATCAGACTTCTGATCGTTGACAAAGTTTTCAGACCCATATGCTTGGAAGTCAAGGAATAATTTGTCCAGCTGAGGTTTCAAACCAGACAGATTGTATTTTGAATCTGAAATTAAACTGAACAAATTAATTCCGAGGGTATCGCTCCAACAATTCGTCATCTCCTGGACGAAGGAACGTAACTCCATTCCAATGTTGCCAAATCGACTCAAACAATTAATTTATTTTACAAAGTGTACCTGTGCAATTTTTATCCAAAATTTGTCTGATTTTTGCATGAAATCTAAAGAAAAATCAGTGCAATTTTCAGTTAATAATGCTCAATATTCTCCCAGTAAAAATACAATTTTCGAGGGGGAGTTTGGCATCAATGTAATGGAGTTACGTTCTATCGTGATGGATACGACGAATTAACATGTAAATCTGTTATTGCAATTGAAAATTCATGAGATACAATGATGATTCATGTGAAACTTTTTTTTTATGAATCCTGTTCCCCAGGATATTTACATTTTATGTTTACCTACCTATTTCATCTTATGATAAAGTGCTTAATTAAAATGCATTGCTTTTTTTGAAACCGTCAAGAGAATATGAAGGCAAGTACATTTACTTTTAAACGTTAACGTTTTCAAAACGCCTACAAATCTCGTGTATGCAACTTCAGTTACACTGTAAAGCATCTCTGTTCTTCCTCACGGATGGCGGAATGTTGCACATTAATAGCGTGCAATCTAAATATTTGTCTCACCTAATACATTTTGTATTAGTTATACATCGTAGTCGTTCTTGACCTTTAAGTCTTAAAATTTGTGAAAAATCACAATTTATTCTTCTCTTGGCCTAATCATCTTGTCAAGCTGTCAATCATGTCTTTTCAGTTTTTGAAGGAAGCTGATGAATCTAAAGAGTATGGGAGAGTCATCTCAAAAGGAAGCACCTATCTTTTCGTCTTAACTTCAAAACCATTTCAAAATTAATGAAACGTTTCCTCTTAGTCATTATTTTAGCTTTCTAGCCCTCACACTTAAATTTGACGAATACTCTGTCTTAAGAGTTTGAAAAAACCTTCTGAAGGGATGTATCAAGTTTCTACTCGTCAGATTTTTTTAAACGAAATTCAAATAAAACTATAAATAAACACACGAAATTGAAGGAAGTTCATTATGAACGATGAATGATAGGTACTTGAACTCAGCTAAATGGAACAGATTATCTGGAGAAGTGTGTGAAAGCGAAATTGCTGCTCCATTCACATCTTCCTTTTTAAATAAGCCATCCAGTTCCTAGTCTATAATTTTAAGGAATTTTCGGCACAAAGGAATTTACTCTTTAGACAGATTGTATTCATCCGTGAGTTCCCGCCCTGCTACGGGAAAGGGAGACCCATATCGCTGGGTATACCCAAAAAATATTGCCCTCCATTATTTTGCCGTAATTTTAGGCCGGTAAGCCTAATTTTAGGAGTCGGCTGCAATTTTTTCGAAGCTAAATTAACTTTTGGCGCACGCATCATGCGATACACCTGCCTCACGATCGCGGGTTACGGCCTGGCAATCTTCAAACAACATTTTTAAGATAGAACTTTTGAGTTAGTTAGTAACGGATATTTCAAAGGAAATCTGTATAGTATCGTGAGAAAATATTCACCTAAAATAAATATTCTTGGGCGATGTTACCTGTTACGAAAATATTGCCGCAAGCATTGTTGAAAATATTGGGGGTGGGGGGGATCAGGCAGAATCGATTATATCACAATGATTGAAATAACTAATTATTGAACAGAAAAACACCCCTTACCGGTCATTATATCCGTAAAAAATGAATTCATCTTGGTCTCCAAGTTGTTAATCACTGCTCCGGATAAATAAGCAAGACATAATATGATGAAACTAATAAAACAATTCACTGATGGAACATTCATTTTTAATATTAATTCCTCTAAAGACACATTTTTTACGCAAGTACCTACATGCACTTTCAGAAGATCACAGTAAATAGAAAAACACGAAACAGCGATGTGACTCGTGCGTCAACAAAATCTAGCTCAAATTCTTTAGTTCAGGACGAGCAAGAACTTTATCTCTTAGAGAACTGACCGAGAACTCACCTATGGAATTGGTGAGGCATTATGTGACATCCTAGACGTGATGAACAACTTGGGCTTGGATGTACGCGCGCAGCGCAATCAGTCAATCTTCAATCATTGCAGATAATACGTACCTTATTGATTATCTTGATTTCGAGAACAGTGATCAAGTAAGTTTCAGGATTTAAAAAGCAGAACCACGGACCAGATATCGACCAGACTATGTATCTCGGTTTGCGACGTAGCGACGATGCAGATATCCTATCATACTTTATTAACGCTTGTGGGAAACCCAATTTTTTGTTAGTAAAAATCCCAAACCAAGTAAAAATCCCAAGCCAAGTAAAAATCCCAAGCCACATATCTTTGTTTGATGAAATTTGTTTGAAGAAATGATTTTGATTTGTTCTATTTAAAAGAATGAAATGGGAGCGGAGATTTTTAAATACCGCAAACGAGGTGCGTGGTCTGGTAGTTCCAATGTCGCCACAGTGCGTTGAATGGAGATAAAAATCCCCCCTAAACATGAAAGCCGAAATTTTCCAAAAATTATGTGGTGAACGTTAAGTGGTATATCTGGCAACTCTATTGTCAGCGATAGTATCGATTTTTATCGATACCTAGTGCCCGCACAGGTGGTCGTTTTCAGCCAGTTCTGAGCTCCTGATTAGAAGCCGATTGCAGATGACAACAATGAGGAGCATCCTGATCAACAGGCTTCAGTGCCATTCTATCCATCCTGGCAGATTCATTCCTACTGGTAAGCACTATTTATTTTTGGTTTTTCCGATTTTTAAATCCTTTTTTTTTGTGGCAAATATTGCATTTTGAAATACTGCTCATTTTTAACCCTTTTTCCCACTTTCATGGAGTGCCAAAAAAAAAAAAACACCGTCAAACACCGAACTTTTGTGCACGTGGATTTATTCAGTGGTATGTGTTATTTAAACTCTCCGGAATGCGTGAGGTATCCCGCCGCATTTGAAGGCGTTTTCAAAACAGCCGAGTTCCGATACCCGGATTATCGTTTTGCGTAGTTCATATTTTTTTGTTTTATTCCGTAACACTTGTTTATCTTTAACCCTCGTATAAAAACCACCCATTTGCTGAATACACTTCTGGCTGCAGCGTACTTCAACTATGCATTCACGACTGCAAAAGTGTCAAAGGATATCGAAAAGGCCAGCGTGAATGAAGGCTATTTGAATTGTAATCTTCCGTCGCATTTCTAAGGCGCAATGATACAACTATTTGAACTCTCCGGAATGCGTCAGGTATCACGCCGCGTTTGAAGGCGTTTTCAAAACAGCCGAGTTCCGATACCCGGACTATCGTTTTGCGTAGTTCATATTCTTTTGTTTTATTCCGTAACACTTGTTCATTTTTAATCCTCGTGTAAAAACCACCCATTTGCTAACTACAATTCTAGCTAGAGCGCACTTCAGCCATGCATTCACGACTGCAAAAGTGTCAAAGGAAATCGAAAAGGCCAGCGTGTATGAAGGACATTACAATTGTAATCTTCCGTCGCATTTCTAAGGCGCAATGATACAACTATTTGAACTCTCCGGAATGCGTGATGTATCACGCCGCGTTTGAAGGCGTTTTCAAACCAGCCAAGTTCCGATGCATGGATTATCGTTTTGCATAGTTCATATTCTTTTGTTTTATTTCGTAAGACTGGTTTATACTTGGAAGTTTTCATGGAATTTGGCAACACTGAGCTATTTCGGTTTCCAATTTTCCCTATTTTACATGCCATTATTTGTATTAATATTAATATCTTCTGGAAAATAGGTTGGAGTAATCGGAATTAGTTCATATATATACGTACATATACGTGGATGCAAATAATTAAGACATGTACTATTTTTTAGAGCGAACTGGCATCATGTGATACTTAAAAATGAATTTTACCATTTCTTTTCATCATTTTTAGTAGTATTTATATGTGTGTTTGTGCACAATGTCTTGAAAATTGGAGGTGAATTTGTGAACCCTGAATCAAAGTCAAATGAAAGCCCAAAAACACCTGAGAAATGGCCAAATTTTTCCAGAAAATCGTGATTTCCGTCCGAACGGGCAACATCGGGCAGGTGAACCGTTGATTTTCTGAGAGTACACATACCACTAAATAAATCCACGTGCACAAAAGTTCGGTGTTTGACGGTGCTTCTTTTTGCACTCCATGAAAGTAGAAAAAAGGGTTAAAAATGAGCAGTATTTCAAAATGCAATATTCGCCACAAAAAAAAGGATTTAAAAATTGGAAAAACCAAAAATAAATAGTGCTAACCAGTAGGGATGAAGCTGCCAGGAAGTAAAACGTAGAAGTAATGAGAAATAAAATTAGAAAAATTAAATTAGCTTTCATTTAAAAAAAAAAAAAATTATATTTTATGTTCTTTAAGGTCTAAAACCCCGTTATGAAAAATAAGGAAACATGGCAACACAGCAACGTTGAACTATTTTCTCTCTCAGTAAATTGATGTGTTTTGAAAATATGTACTTGTTAAATTTTTTTCGGTGCAAACTTGAGCTTGATATCCTATTTTTGTCGGGGAGTTATCCAGCTGAAAGGGTTACATCCGATTTCCCCCCCAAAACGGGGCCCAAACTGTGATGTTTCGAAATTTCCACTCCCACTTTATTTTTTCGAAGAGAAGCAAGCCAACGTTTTACCTTACCATGTATACAGAATCTTTTGCAGGCAGAGAAGAAAATTCAAGGAAGTTTTTAAAAAGATACGTGACTAGTTTTCTGAATAAAAAAGAAAAGCATGACAGAAAGTCTGCTACAGAGGCGGATCCCTAAATTTGGCAACACCGGGATGCCTCCATTTAAACCCATGCTAAATAATAGATTCTTGTCAGAGCACCTGGCCCCTCTAAGAATCGATACTTTTTATAGGTTAAATGGTAAAAAAACAATGTTGCCAATTTGCTGGATCCGCCAACGAGTCTGCCACGTCACAAACGGAGATACCTGATTTCGCACTTAAGTCATCGATGTGATCAGTTCAACATCAGGGTGTTTGAAAGCCGGAGCATGTATTTGCCAAAATCCCCCTGATGTCCTCCGACAGTAAAATAATCTCTACGTCAAAAACTCATGTCTATAGATGACTGTGTATTCCTTAATTACTTATAGTTATAGTATTAGTCCTTAGTTTATTTTGGTTGCACTATCAGTCTCACAATAACAGCAGTGAAGCTCGTAGTGTCTTTCTTTCTAATTTTCTTTGTTTTGCCGGTTGACAATGCGGGTGTGATCCCCGCGAAACGTCCCGGGATTTTTATTTTATTTTTATGTTAGTTTTATTATTTGCGGCCTTTGTCCCGATTTAAGTTTTTTTTTTATTTTTTTATTTTTTTTTTGTAAGGAACTAAATAAACAGGAATAGAAGCGAAATAAACTGCAAAGAAAATGAAAACATCAGGGTGATTCGTTTTGGCTGTTGGTCTTCTTGAGCATCTCCGCCCTCGATCTCCATCTCTTTATCGCCGAGCCGCCAGATTTCCAAATTTTCGAGACTTGGGCACCCTGCTAAAAGTGTTACATGTAAAATTTTGCATGTAAATACAGTTTCATGGAAAATTCGGATGGAAATTTTTTCCATGAAAATATTTGGCATGGAAATTTTTTCCATGAAAATATTTGGCATGGAAATTTTTTCCATGAAAATATTTGGCATGGAATTTTTTCCCAGATATTTCCATGAAACTGTATTTACATGCAAAATTTGGCATGTAAATAAACCTGCACCATTTGACTCCACCTAAAATTTCTATGATTAATGCAAGAATTATAAAATTAAAGTCACCCTCAAAAATTGGTCGGACTTTGAGACCTTTATCTGACTGTACCCACTGGAAAGCAAGCGAGTGGAGGAGCTGGCTATTTTTCTTTGGCCCAATATGTTTACAGGGGATCTTACCCTTACCTTATTTCAGGCATTTCTGCTTGTTAAGTGCTGCAATCTACTTTTTCTCCCGCAGCCCTGCTAAAAATTTTTCATGGAATTCCGTGCTGGTTTTCCATGGAAAATTTCTCTACGTAAAATTGGGGAAAATTTTTCCATGGAAAATTTCTCCACGGAAAGCACCACGGAAAATGTCACCATGGAAAATTTCTCCATGGAAAATTTCTCCACGGCAAATTCTCACCGTGGAAACCTGCCACAGCACTCACTGTGTCTCATGCAGGTTTCCACCATCAAGTTACCATGGTGTTGTTTCTTTAAGTCATCATAGAACTGTTCTACTCAATGTTTCTGGTTTTTTTAGTATTTAATTAGATAATTTACAAGTTTTCCTTGTAATCAATATAAATGAAAATGATACACTCACCAACTTGAAGACACATAGTACCAACTATACTTGACAGAGATGTAATAATTCTTTTAACAATTGAGAAACTACCGCACTGTACCTTCGCGTCACATACTGCACGCTCAACGTTTCAAATAAGATTTCATTCAGTTGACAATGTGAAAACATATTCAAATTATTTCACAATAAGCACGGAAAACAGCACCAAAAATTATCACAACACTATCCAAATTAGAGGCCAAGAGAGTGAAATATGAACTGTAGATTTTGGTTTCTGTCTGGGAAGCTTAATTGCATCTAGATGGTTTAAAGGTTGCCACTAATTCCCTGCGAATGGCTGTTCGATAAGATCAAAGGAACTGCCAGATGATAGGAAACAAATGGCGATTGCTGCAGCTGAACAAGGCAGGTAAATGTCTCGGTGTGTTTTTATGAAAGCTCTGAAAAATGAATAATGTACAGCGCATCAAAACCATGAGTACAACCAATGATCAGCACTAAATTGAAACAATCTCAAGGTGAAGCCAACCAACATTTCTTGAGAAGTTAAAATAAGTTCTGAGGATAGCCAAATAATTTTTAGTAATTGGACAAAATACTTGTGAAAAAGCATTGGTAAAATTGTGTGTAAAAGCAATTATTGCATTGGTAGCCATAAAAATAGGAAGTAAATTATTGGACATCTGATAATTCACTGAAACATCGTTGATAAGGATGTGATGTTTTAGCCCTCTAGAGTTAAAAGTTTAAGGCCTCATCTGTAACTTCAGATATATCTCTCACACTACTTACATTTCTGAATAAAAATACCAAGTAATAGCTAAGGCTCAATTCAGACGTCACTTTTCCTTCACTCATGTCAAATGAAAAGTTGGATCGTGTAATACAACACGAGAACACAACGATCATTTGAGAGGTTGAACAAAAATTTGAAAGTCAGGTCACACCAAGGTTTCCGTTCAACTTCTCAAACAAATGTTAGCGCTCGCGCATCATACATTGAGACAAACGTCAAAAGTATTGCTTAAGTCACCATTCACCAGTGGTGCCACCTGACTACATGAATTTACCTGTTGAGTGGTGCGAATTCAGAGCTAATCAGAGAGAAACATTTGTTTCAACATACGATGAGCGAGCTCTATGTTCTCATGTCCGTATAAAACGATCCAACTTTTCACTCTGTATAAGTGGAGGAAAGCTAGACTGTCTGAGGTGGGCTTTAGTTTCCATCACACAGCAAAAAAATCTAGAAGGGCCTGTATTTAAGGTTTCTTTTTCAGTCCTAAGTAGTTCTCACCTGTGAATTTTATTCACAGTCTATATGGGTTTCAGCAAACGATAGGAAATGGCAATCTCATATGATCTGACAGATATCTGATATTATCCCTGAGGAGGACGATGACATGAGCTGATGACGGCTGGGAATGGAATGCAGTTAGAATGTTAACCGTGTGCTGAAAACACGATAAGGGAGACTGTAACCAATATTCGATCACGGTTCATGTTCGGGGTGCAGACTCGGAGGAGCGACCAAGGAGAAGATAGAGAAAATGATGAGCACATACGAATCTACTATTCAACAAAGAATGTTAGAATAGTTTATCAAGATACAGAGATAAATGTAATGCTATGATTCTATGGAGAGGTTACAGATCAGTGGCTGATGGATCACTATTGGTGCCTATGCCTACATTCAGTAATAGAAATTGCTAATCATTGTTATTCATGACTTACCTAGATTCAGTTCAAGGCCCTTGCATTCAACTCAGATTTGGCGTGATGTAGCGAAAGCAGGAAGTCAAGAAATATATAAATTTCTGAGAATTACTGTATGGTTTGCGAGAGCTTCATTGAGCCTGACGATTCACGCCTCGTTGATAATCTAACCTCAAAATACCGACAGGGCAGGGCGAGGCAGGGCGGGGCGGCACATCTCCTGACTTGCCGAATTGAATTGAGGATTTTTTATTTAAATCTGCATGATCTATAAAAACTCATTCGCTTATTTATTACTGAAATGCGTAACGCCGATAATGTTTCATACTTCACACGCTTTAACATTTGCGTTCTATTCTTGCTTTTATTTTTATTTTTATACAATTTCAACATGAAACAGGGCAGGCCGGCAGGATTGCAACGCAGGTTTTGTTTTGGAGTCGGAACTGAATCACTTTGTAAACACAAGATGAGTTGTTGGTTATCACTGCCAGTAATGCAAATTTTAATTTTTTTATGTGATTTAATTAGTATCAGCTCGAATTCGAGTCTTCTTCGTTACGAAAGTAATGTTACCTCGAAGTTGGTGAATTTTGATTAACCTGAAAGTAAGCCAGCAGTGTATCGCAATGGACTCTTGGTAATCGATCTTCAAATTTTTATTTTGGCCATGCGTAGAAATAGAATGAAAAAATTCTGATAGATACAACTCAATTCTCATTGGTTTTGCTATTACCGCTATTCGGTTCTTTCTACAATTCAATGTTGGTTTCACACAGGAGATTTGGAAGTATGACGGTTGAGCTTCAGTAAAGGCGATCCTATTGAATAGTTAGTGTCTAAACTAATCTTGCAAAACACAGACGTTTGGTCTCTAATTGACAGACTTTAAAGCTGTACCTACAGGTTCGAAGAAGCTGCGTGTTTTCTGTTTTTTGACAAACTATTGCGGTTATTTCAGTTGTCTTAAACAGAGTATAAGCAGCAAATTATTATTACATCTCTGTCAACCATAGCGAATCTCTGAGTTAATCATATTTTAAATGAAAACATTCTCTGTGTGAAAAGTAATTGCTACCTACTGGTACAATTATTAAATTATCGTTAAATAGTGGGCATTGTCTTGGGAATGCCATGGTTGTAGAAATTTCAGTGCACTAATGAAGACTTATTCTGTGATAACTGATGACATGAAACATTTTAGTGGCCCTCACTCGTGAACTTCGGTGAGTAATTCAACTTAATTCTATGATGCATAACGAAACAGCAAATAGTTGCTGATTGTCAATGATCAAAGGCTTACAGATTACCATGTTCATTCTTGTGGTGGTCTCCAGTGTTTCACGGTGTTCCAATGCATGTCCTCTGCTATTCCGTTACACTCCCTTGAAATTCCATGTAGCCACCACGGAATCTCCTGCTGCCACCATGGAATCCCATGCAGTCTCCACGGAAACCCAAGGAGTCACCATGGAGTTCCGTGCCTCCTCCATGGAGTCTTCATGGAGTCTCCATGGAGTTCCGTGTCTTCACCATGGGATTCCATGAGAAACAGCACGGAATACTATGGAATTCCATGAAAAATTTTTAGCAGGGAATTGATTTTCATATAATGCAAAATCACTTAGCTAGTTCTCGAAAAAAAATTCTGTTTGTTTGAAAGAAGGAAAATTTCTTGCTTCATCTTATGTTGCATATCAAGTTACAATTATGTGGTAAATGAGATGCAAAGGTACCCAACTGCAATATATATTAAGGGGTACCCCTACATCTGCCCCCCCCCGGAAATCATTTTTTTAACATATTTAATTTTTCTACCCACTTTTTTTGGTAGTCTTACTAAGCATAATTTCCTGAGAAAAAAGATGTGTATTTGGGTATTCTAGATCTTTTCTGGAGGTATATGACAACTCTGTACTCAACCCTAATTTCGGTCCTCAGAAGAGTTACTTCTTTAAGCAGTTTTTCATACTAAGGTGAAATCATCAGTAATAGGACACCCTTAAGTTAAATATGAAACATTTGTACCTACTTTAAAACTGTTCTTTTATCTTAAATTAACAAGGATCTTACAGAGAGCACATTTAGTCCAAATTTCTGAGCATTTTACACTCCTAAAGCCACAAGAATAGAAGATAGAGTAGTAGGGTGTCTATCACTGGTGACTTCATCTTAGTCAGTCAACTTATTTTGAGTTCAGTATATGGCACCTAGAGACCTAATTTTTTTTTAAAATTATCATTATTTTTTTTCTCTTCTTTTTTCTCTTTTTTTTTAAAATTATCTGAAACCTATCTAGGTGTTGGCTCTACCAAACAGGACAAAATTATTTTTTTTACAAATTAAATTTAAGCAGGGCCAGCATGCATGCAGGAATCTACAAAAATTTGAACCCCCCCCTCCTCCTCGTAGGTGCCGTATACCGAAACGTCTATGAAAACACAATTTAGGCCAATTAGGGAAATCAATTTCATTTGGATGAACGTCAGTAATATAGGCACGGTTGCCACAGTTAGGAAAAACCGGGAAATGTACCATGCAGGGAATTTTAAAAAGTCAGGAAATACCGGGAAATGTGGAAATATGGGAAAATTTGTTAAAACGCCTTCATTTGCTTTCTAATGTGGGTTTCAGATTTTGAACAGGAAATTTTGCCTGATAACTATTTTCAATTATGCCTTCTTAACCATCCGTCACATCTTCAATTGTCAGGGAATTTCACCAAAATGTGTCAGGGAAATCAGGGAAATGTCAGGGAATTTCATTTTCTAAATTCTGTGGCAACCCTGCATAGGTCATTAAATGAAATGAAATAAATAATATGCGCACCACTGACGGACCCAATGTTTCCATGCACTTGGGAGGCACCAGCTATGTTTCATGCGATCGGCGTGGAAACTGGAACATTTCCATCCAACTTGCATGTAAACCATACTTTTCCATGCAGTATAGTTTTCACGTTGCATGGCAATTACTTTATTTACATGCAAGTTGGATGGAAGTGGTCAGGATTTCCATGCCAGCCTCATGGAAACGTCTCGCCTTCCATGCGTTACACCCCGATTTCCATGCCAAATCTCATGGAAGTTGGCTATTTACATGCCAAATCTCATGGAAATCGTCCATTTACATGCCATTCTTCATGTAACACTTTTAGCAGGGGCAACCGGACTAGCTTTGGATAAGCTCCTCACCACGCCGTTGTACGCGCTAGAAATATTCGATTTCGACAACCCTCTCGCCAGATTATTGTACGTCGGTGATTGATGTAACCTCCTCACCATTTGACTGCACGTTGAACTTATGTACGAGGATGATTTTGACAACTTGCTCAACAAACGATTCGTGGCATTCATGGCCGAAGACTCACTGCGCTGCGTGGTATTTTCATCTGATCTGGAACTTTTTCTGGAATTTCCCGCAGGACTTAAGGCAAATATCGGGCCCTCCAAAGGCAAGTTCTTCCGTTTTAAGTAACTTCTCGCGAGATTGGGCTTCCTAGCGTAGAGAGCTTTGAAGATCGTCACGTTAGCTCTGTGGTGTTTTATACATCTAAGGGCGCTGGATGAAAATCTGCATATGACTGCTCCTGTATTCAAGTCAATGGATGCGACTTCCTTTAAAGGTATCTGCATTTTGTCGCCGCCAACGTGTAAGATCCCGAAGTAATTGCATGCCACCTGGAAGCAACTCTTGATTGCATACTCGACGTCGGGCAAGACGTCATCGTCGGCTGGAATCGCTTCTAAAAAGAAAAAAAGGCAAATTGGAGTTGAACAGGAATAATAACTTGTTCACTGTTAAAAATACCGACAGTCGAAAACACAGGAAAATGCAGAAACAAGGCTAAAATACAGAATATAAAGGCAGGACGTTTCGGTACCTCACGGCACCATTATCAACTGCTAAAATAGAATTGAAAATAAAAAAGAAATTGAAATAAAAACCAGCAAACGGCGTTACATGGTGAAATTAGAGTTTCAATACCAATTTCACCATGTAACGCCGTTTGCTGGTTTTTATTTTAATTTCTTTTTCATTTTTAATTCTATTTTAGCAGTTGATAATGGTACCGTAAGGTACCGAAACGTCCTGCCTTTGTATTTTGTATTTTAGCCTTGTTTCCGCATTTTACTGTGTTTTCGATTGTCGTTTCCGTTTCGGGCTGCTTTTACATTCTGTTTGCTTTCCACTGTTAAAAATATCGATACGGATCGATTTATCCGTCGCAGGCTTGTAGCGAAATAAGGCAGTTTGTCAAATGCCTATGCAGATAGTTAAATTTTGACGGTTTGTACAATTTTGTGAATTTATGGCGAAGAGCTAGAGAGTTTTCAATATTTTGGGAATGATAACTCATCAAATCCAAGAACTCTTCATGTATCGTCCTCTTCAATTTCTTCTCATTTTTGAAATTTTGAAATTCTAAAAATTCTCTGACCACGGGTCCATCGGACCAACGGATAAAGAAATCAAACTCCTTTAAATGGTGAGTTCCCGACTAAGACCCCATTATCATGATCAGGATGGTTGGCGCTTTTAAAAGTAAGAAAATTTAAAAATGCAACGAGGGCGATTACAATTGGATAACTATACGAGAGGCAAGTCTTACCAGAAGGAATCGGATCAAAATCAGACCCAGAATTGAAGAAATCGGGATGAGCTTCTTCGAGTTCCTCTTTAAATTCCGATAAGTTAGATTCAGTGTCTGGAAACCATAAAATTCCAAAATATTATTTATTCCATGTGCAAATACCGTTTTCTCTCGTGTGTGTTTGAAAGAACGTACGATACCGAGTATGTGGGAATTTTTTATGAGAAATCACATTCATTCGATCATTCGAATCTTGGCATGATGTACGATAAAGCTTTAAACTTTATCTAGGCGTGTGTTCACAAAAAGGCATTTATGTTTGACGGTAGCGACATGCAGTATTGTATCTTTATCGGCGATATGAAGTTCAAGGTTAGAAAGGCTCAATTAATGTGCATTTCCCGGTTAATATTTCATTTTGTCCAATTACGAGTTTCATTTAGCCATGAAAAGTTAGCATTGCAACAATACCTAGGGCCGATTGAATTAAATCATTAAAGGTTAAGGTGTGTATAAATGTCTCGAGGTATGACATGTAAGCTTGTAATAATCGTATACGTATGGGACTTATGTGTACCATGCAGTATTTCCAATTTTTTTTGCTTGTAACAACACGACTGAATCAGTGGTGACGTATGAGTTTAAATAACGGTATTAAATATTTAGACTTTGTCCAGAGGTGGCTACCGCCACCCATGATGAGGATAATTTTGAAAGAGAACACCAAGTTCCCATCCAAATGACCCAGTATGAAAAAATGGAAACATTGGAAATTTTTAGCGAGATTTCAACCGCAAAAAAGTATCCAGTCAACGTGTTTAAAGGAAAACAGGGAATCCTTTCCCATTGTTGATGGACATCCTTCACTTTAAGTACTTAAAGTTCGCTTTTGATTTTGCCGCAAAATAAGGGCCATTAATCTACCATCAGGAAGTGCGAATAGTTATCTTTTAGCAAAAAATACTATTCATTCGGTGTGTACTTCAGCAAGACCATAAAACTGAGAGCCAATCAGTCGGAGGACATCGTTCATTTTAGGTTCGCCTTCAATTTTGGTGCATACGCAACAAACCTTTTAAAGAACACGAATAGTTAGCTATTACAAGAGGTAACATTTATCTTGTCATGTCTTGTCTCACCATCTCTTCTTCAGGGATGAGTACCGATTTTAAACTATCCTTATCATAATTGTATTCCTAGGCGCGGCAAAAATGAACGCCAAGTGCTAATACGATGACATTTTACCATATAGTACATAGAGTCGTAATGTAAGTGGGAGAGCTGGCGCCATGTTCTGCTCGACGAATTCTGAGCCCGGTGTGCGCCGAGTTCGGGTCGCTTTTTCGATACATTTTCGATCCAAAATGGCGGTGTGGAATAAGTGGTAATTCCTATCTCCTTTGTTTTTGTTGCTGTTGTCGTCGGATGGCCGGGTACCCGTGTATCGCAAACAATCGATTATGTATCGAAAAAGTGACCCGGCGTCACACAGGAGTCTCGGAATTCGGGACATGGAAAATGCTTATAAGTGGCGCCAGCTCTCCCACTTACATTACGACTCTATGTACTCTATGCATTTTACATGTAATTTCAAATTACAAGAGAAACTCAAACGATTATGCTCAATAAAAGTGTAAAAACCAATCTCCCAAGTTATGTTCGAACCTCTTACAATCTTAGCTGTGCATTCTCTCCTTGCGTAATATTTTTAAAGTCTAAGAATGGAGAATTGGCAGGTGTCTAGTTGTGTCTGCTGTTTAATTCAGTTAGTCATATTTGGATTGCATTTTGCGAAAAGGAACCAAAGAGCATTCCGGTGTTGCTAGGATTGTGCAACTTACATTCTTTGCATCAAATTACTGAAATCATGGAAGAATTTCAATTTATAAAGGTGATTTTTGTCTTGAATTCATATTCTATCGAGAGTAAAGAACAGCTTGCGTAGATGATCAGTTTGTTTTTGCAAGGAAAAAAATTTGCCCAATCTTAGCAACATTCGAATGCTCTTGGCTCCTTTTTGCAAAATTCAATCCATTTGTAGTGATGCTTTATGGGCTACGTGATAAGAAAGCCGAATATCGCAACTAAAGACGTGATAGAGCCTCGTTTTTTAACTTTTCTCCCGAATCTGAGCGACCGACACTTTAGTACCTCACCAGTAGCATAAGGCGAAAGCATTGCAAAGTCACGCCTCGCGCCATCGCGCCTTCAATTTTGCAGATGCAACACGGACATCCATCGAGTACGAATAGTTGTATCTGTGCGCCGTCATCAACGCTCGTCCATTCCCTTGCTTTATTTGCATATTGTGTTGATTACCTTTGTCTTATTTCCAGAGGTGTTTTCAAAACAAAACCAGAATATGATTTTATGAACTCCGAGATGCATAAAAGTGAAAAAGGCTTAACTGAGAATATTGACTTGTTTTATATATTACATGTACATTTATGCGCTTTCAAAGTGAGGGATAAGTCCATCATCTTGATTCCTGAATTTGTTTTATATGCAAGGAGAAAGACAGCATATTCTCTTCATCACGATGGAGAATTTTCAGGTGTCTGAAATCTTTTTAATTTCGCGTACAAGTAGAAATTACTAAGCGTACTGACCATGAGGATATTATTTGTTTATAAATTGAACAATCATTGGAGGAGATACGATAAAATGATCTAATCTGCTAAAATACATGTGTTCAAATGAGAATGCCGTCAGATGATGTCACTAGATGGTGCATTTCCTCTCTTTTAAATATATTTTTATACTGTGTCCCATGTCGGAAGAAAATTATAAAAAATATACTGCGAAATCAGCTCTTTCGGCACTTTCAGATGAAACATTAAAAATTTGCGTGCAAACACTCCATTCGAACTACTTAACTTAATACATGAATCAATGATTCGCCATATTAGCACAATGAATTTTGAAAATCGGAAAAGCTTCTCCAAATCTACCATAGACTGCGCGGTTTCATTTTAGCGTGACAGGTATTGCAGCCCCCACTGAAAGCTTTTTCTGCTACAAGACAGATTTATTTTTGATAAAACTAGAAATGCAATCGCGTACCTTACAGTACAGTTTTAAAAGGCCAATCAAAGGTAGACCGTTTTATGGAGCCAGAGAGTTTTTCCCCCTCAGACGTCAAGCATCAATGTAAAGCTGCGCTAATGCAAAACGCGTTTTACATGCTATATGCGACGTATGAACTACGCTCGCACGTGCGTCTGTTTTGTTTTTCCGAAAAGACTCGCTGTCAAAATGAGCACATGATATCGCTGATATCGAGTTATTTTCGATCAATCGAAAGATTTCGATAAAGTGGGGGTTTCCGCAATTCGTCCTCAAACAGAGGTGATTTTGCAAGTTGACAACACTGTTTTTCCTCAATTTAAATGTAAAAAAATCGATCCCTCGTGAGGCAGCTTGTATCGTCTAAAATCGATATTTTTCATGGATTTAAATCGCTGAAAACAGTGTTGCCAACGTGCAAAATCATCACTGCCATTGTATCATACGATATAGTTACATTTAGACCTATATACATATTTCATCCTCTGACGAATATTTCGGGCTTATTTTTCGACATGTCCTAACTATCGCTTTTTCTTCTGCAATGGCTCGAGAGTTAGGCTTCATATAAAATGTCGTAATTCATCTTATATTCCATTGAATGGAGTATGAGGGGCAGAACAAATCATTTTTGTTGCATTAAGAGCGTACAGGACTTATCATGATATGTTAGAAAGGCTCAGTGGTCTCTTTTTTAATTACTTTTACTCACTTGTCGCACCAATGCACGCTTCCAGGACTTTATGTCCACCTACCTTTCGTCCATTAAATAAATGTCCACCGCTATTAATGTCCACTGAACGTTAAGTCCAGTCTTCATTAAGTCCACATGATTTAATGTCCAACAATGAATATGTCCAAAATTGTCCAAATTGTGGACATGTTATGTCCACATTTTTTTCTTCTCATTTAAATGACAGGAACCACCTCAAAAATAAATGCATACTACTACTACCTTCATTCTTAAAAACATTTCTCTCATGAATCAAGTCATGAAAGAGAACAGATTCTAAGAGCAGATAAAAACATATGTTCATGTGTACACTGTACGGATATGATAAGATGAAAACCAAAGCGGGAGCCTAGTAAACGCTCCAATGCCAAATTAAACATTTTTCAGTAACAGGTGCAGTCAAAATTGAAAGTCCTCTTTAACAAGTTATTTCGTGCGCCTTCAATCTTATAGGATACTATGCAACGCCTCTGACGCGAAATAGTTGCTTAAAGCGTTGCGGCGCGGCAGGCAACCAGCGTGACACGCGCATAGGCGCCTACAAACCTAACGGGATACTTCACGCGTTGCGCAACGCGTGAAGTATTTCGTTAGGTTTGTAGGCGCCCGTGCGCGTTCTGCGCTGCTAACACGCCGCTCCGCTCTGCCATTGCTTGGAAAAAGTTTTACAAATATTTACCACGTTTTAAAAATGTAAATGTTTCTAAAATGAAGTAATCAATTTCATTAAAAAAAAGAATGTACATTTAAGGCATATTTTATATCGGAAATTTCAAGGATAGAAATGAAACCAAGTATTTACCAAAGACAATTTGAAAAGATGAATCAAAAGAAGAAATTAACATTTCATTTAAAATATGAGTTACGATAACAACACATCATTCTCTCTTAATTTTCTCATTTCGATATTGTCAATATAATTTTACACACGGACTAAAATATGACGCTTGAATTTGATTTTAGTGGAATTTACATTTGTGGACTTAACTTCGTGGACGTTTAAGTCATGGACTTAACAATAGTGAGGGCTTTAGAACTGTGGACAAATAAATTGTGGACGAAAAATCTGTGGACGTAAAAAAAAGTGGACATAAAGTCCGTGTACCCAATACACAAAATAGGACGACTCACGATGCAGTGGTGAGGACAATGGGCCTGTTGCAAACTTTTGCCAGAGCAAAAATAAGAGTTGTTTCTTATAGATAATGCCTCGAAAATCACGATGAGCGCATCAGCAAAGTCTGAAATGCACTCATAACTTCACAGTCTGCGTAAGAAATTTGCGGTTTTTTGAGCTTCCCGCTTCAAAAACGATACTACGGCACAGGTGAACATTTTGTAAGAGGAGTCGTTCCATCGTCGGCAATAATCATCATGGCCGACGCCAATCCGCCAAAACACGTTTGATGGGACGAGATAACATCTGAACTGGATTAGACCAGATAACAATCGGTGTGTTAACGTTCATATTTTCCACGCCCGAATTGATTGACCTTGAACTCTCCTCGAATTACGCGCGGAACTGCGCGCAAGCGTCGGCCATGATGAATATCGCCGACGATGGAGCGACTCCTCTAACAAAATGTTCACCTGTGCCGTAGTATCGTTTTTGAAGCGGGAAGCTTAAAAAAACGCAAATTTCTTACGCAGATTGTGAAGTTATGAGTGCATTTCAGACTTTGCCGATGCGCTCATCGTGATTTTTGAGGCATTATCTACAAGAAACAACTCTTATTTTTGCTCTAGCAAAAGTTTGCAACAGGTCCATTATGCTATTAAAGTTATAAGTAAACGGATAAAATAATTTATTATGCAGTTCATACGTCAAAACTACCGGTTCAATGACCATTGAATACAGCCGGGATGTTCAATGGTCATAATATACACTGGAAAGAAAGGATCTTGGATCCGGAGTCCAGACTTTTAAATTTGACAGGAAAAAATACTCTTGATTCAATTGAAGTTTTGCCTGAAACTAGAACCAAGTCTCTGAATTTAGGCGGATTTCCTTTTGATTGGAGCAAAAATCCGATTAAATGAAGAGTATTTTTTCATGTCAATGTTTTTAAGAGTCTAGACTCTGGATCCAAGAGACTTTTTTGCCAGTGTATACAGTGTTAAAAGTTTAAATAATTCTTCATGAAATAGAAACACTCGCCGTTTTTTTATGTTTTATTTTTGAAACTAGGGGGCCACACCCGTTGATCGCCGCTTTGTAGTTCAAATCCGCTGAGGCGTTATGCGCTCTGCGTTACGCGTTACGCGTTATACTCATCAGTGGCGTTGCGTGCTTAGCGATACATCGATTGATCAGCCATTTAAACCTATGGAAAAGGATCGAGTATTCCACAGCTTTAAATACGGAAATATCGATAGATCGTGAAGCACGCCACGCCACTGTTACTCGTATGGTTTTATAGAACAGAGTATGAATTGGACCTCAGTTAGGTATATTGCAGTAAGAAACCAAGCCACATCAGCTAATGCCAAATTCTATTGGACAATTTGATTTTTTTACCTAAAAACGGTTGTGCGGATTTTTGTGCAAACCTTAGTGAATTTTTTGCACAGTACGAAGTAAATTCCTCAAAATTTTCTGAGGAATCCGCACAAACGTTCGCTTATAAAAAACAAAATTGTACAGTAAAATTTCGCAATAGACGATGCGGCTTGGTTCCGTTCATAGAGTACATAGCGTCGTAATCTAAATGGGAGAGCCATGTTCCGCCATATTCTGGTCGACGAGTTACGAGCCCGGTGTGCGCCGAGCTTCGGTCTCTTTTTCGATACACGGTCGATCCAAAATGGCGGTGTGAAATACGTAGTGATTTCCACCTTCTTTGTTTACATCGGATGGCCAGGTCCTCGTGCATTGAACAAAATTGATTATATATCGAAAAAGTGACCCGGCGTGGCACAGGAGTCTTGGAATTCGGGACCTTGAAAATGCTTAAAAGTGGCGCCAGCTCTCCCACGTACATTACGACTCGATGTACTCTATGGTTCTTTTCTGCCTAACGCGGTTCCATCATGATTAGTCAATCGTAGGCTGTTACCTTGTCCAAACAGTGCCCCAGCTTGCACGGTTTGAAGAACAGAGTTTGTTATGAGGAAGATTAAATGAATGCACTTGTTTCGTAGGCTCATGTCGAATGGTAAAAGGATGGGAAAAATCGTATGTGCAATCTCAAAATAAAACACAGGAATGCACGATAGGAATCGGTCTCTGACCGAATAAGCACCACACGTTCAATCGTTTTCGAAATAAATAAAATAATAAAATAGCTATTGATTCACAAGTCATTTTCTAATAAGTAGACTAAAATCACCTATTTTTAGACACTCACAGACAGCCACATCCTGGAGTAAAATTCCATGAAATTACTTTATCCCGACTACAACGAGAGTGCTCTTAGAGCAAATGGATTCAGACTGATATTCTCAAACGCACGAAATATCGGAAAACCAACGCGAAATTACTTTTTTTACTATACATTTTCAGGTCGGCGCAGATGAAGTAATGCTCTTCTCCGCGAATTTGTCCCCCAACACGTTGAGCTTCACTCTCTATCGCCCTGACGTACATTCTAATGTCGACTCTCGTTGATGGAAAAGGAGGACAACAGGGTAAAGGAATAAACATTACACGTATTTTAGAGGTTAAAAAGTCCGCTGGAGCATATTCCCTATTTTTTGCACACCGTTTCTTGAGGACGCGTGAGTGAAAACTGAGATGAAAAAATGTTAGAAATACCCTGTGAAGCAAAGTGAAAATCAACGGCGGAACTGAAAAACATGTATCTCCTTTCGCGGTGTTGCAAAATCTTTAGTCTCGTTCTATTTTATCAAAGGAGAACGAACCAAAACTATCGTTTAAAATTTACACTGAATATTCTTCACGCATGCAGAGAAGAAAAATAAGGCAAACATGGATTTCTCAAATTCCTTGTTTTTCCCTCTCAAATTTTGAATCGCACTGCCATTGGCCGTGTTTTCGGGTGTTTTTTGCGCCAAAATTAATGCGCGGTTAATGCGTTTTAGCTGTGGTAAAATTATCCCATTATCTATGCCCCGCCCTAAGGCACATTTTGCCCTGTTGCGAGACTTTTTCAACTTACTGTGTTCCCCTTACACGTTCCACCTCCGGCCTATCTAATATATTTTTGAATTGATTTTCATGTTCAAGTTAGTTACAGCAAACACGTTTTAAACATATTTTTTCCGAATCATTGCAGGGCGATCCACTCAAATTGTGTCATTGATTTACAGCAGCCTGATTGTCTACTATGTTGGTATTGTACTTCGGATGTTGAAATCGAATGTTTCACTTTTACAATCGGTTACCGTATGTAGACAAGAGCATATGCTCACCATAAAATCTTACTTGCGAAGAGGGTTGATCGTGCAAGGGTTAACGCTGTCTCTGGGTCTCTCACCCTCCGCATGTTCATAACCTTTTGCTCCTCAGTGTCATTGTGGGAGGTCGTTTTTCTTTAAACTGAAAGAGTTGCAATGTCAGTAAGTTGAAATATTTTAGGCAACGTGCGTTTAAAATCGGCGCAATGCTGAAAATCTCAATACAAGGGAAAAATCTCATAAGCGCATAATTTTCCCTCAAAGAGATACGCTGTTGGGTGTTTTTTAAAATTTATTTTTATTTTTTATTTTTTATTTTACTTTTTTATTTTTTTTTAATATTTAAAGTCATGTTTTGAAATACATTCCATTTCAACAAGTTTTTGCTACTGTCGATGTTACTGTGATGATGAAAGAGGGGGCAACTGAAGTCGTGAAATGATTGTACAATTCCAGCTAAATTGCCTTCATGGGTAGAGTGTTGCGGTGTTGCCATCCCGATCTTTTTAATACAGAAAATCTGTGCCACTTCGTGATTGGTTACACCATTTTTCTCCTTGATGGAGCCTCTCCGACTGTGCTAGGGAACGCCATATGAGCATTCAGGCGTTGCCATATTTACTTCAATAAAAAACGAATTTCCTAGGAAAATTCTAAATATTTTTCTTCCAATTTTTCAGACCATTTTGTTCGCAATTTAATCTAAAATATCTGAAAATTTCAGGGAAAAATATGCATGGATGTTGTCAAAAATACGTGTTTTATTCGGGGAGATTTGGCAACTCTCAAATGTTCATACGACGTTCTCCCTTAGCACGGCAGCCTCTGCTCCTATTTTTGGACAACGGTGAAAAACAAGACGGAGACAGGTTTTTAGACGTGCACGCAAATTTTTAATTGCTCCATGCAAGGGCTTCAAGATCCGATTTCGCAATATTTTTTACAATTTTTTCTGACATGGGAAATAGTAAAAAAATAGATTTACATGTGAGAAAATGCATCATCAAGTGACGTCATCTGGCTGAATTTCCCGTTTAAACGCATGTATTTCAGCAGCAGACAGTTTTGTCATATCTCCTCCAATAATTGTTCAATTCATGAACCAGGTATCCTCGGGTTCAGTTTACTCAGTAGTTTCCACTTTAACACAAAATTCATCAAATTTCAGACACCTGCAAATTCTCCAATTCGTCGCTTGGCAGATAAAAGGACGTAACTAAAATTTTAGATGCGCCCGGGAAAGCATTGACTTATACGAACGACAGGGTTCACCGCAAAGTGTAGTTACGCCCTTATGTCAGGGGGGCGACAAATCGGCCACAACGGAATAAAATGCGCTTTTCATAATGCAGACTATAGGGACCTTCACTAAGATTTAAAATCTTTGATGCTTTGCAACCAAATAAATCCAGTATATTTCTAATAATATATCCCCGACTTGTCATACACATTTGTATTATTTGTTTATTAAGCAAAATAGCTTCGCAGGAGGACTGAAAAACAAGCAGTGAACTCCAACACAATGTGTTGATAAGGCGCGTCATTAACTCGCACATATCAACCCCTTTAGTTTTCATTTACAGAGATTTCAAAATAGGCAAACAGCACAACAAGAGAATTCACGATCCAACACTGCGAGGTCAACTACGCACCTTGACGAGACCGTGTATTGTGAATGTAGAAAGCTATTTGATCGAATTTAAGTTTTTTGATCTGCCTCAAGCAAAATCTTATCAGATTCTTGAAGAAAAGTGCTACGGAATAATTTACGCGAAGAAAGGAAAAATTCTGTCAAACTCCTAAAGGTATTTTGGGGCTAAAATACCCAAATCACCGGTAGTATAAATCCCGTTATATTATTGAAAAGAAATTGACTCTATATAAATGCAATTGCATTGGATACGTCTTAATTTTGTTATTTTAAACGTCTTTCCATACAAAGAAGTTCAACCATGTCGTTGCTTTACTCATTCATGAATTGAAAGTAAGCAATCTGCATCCCGAAAATCTACTGATTTGCCGTAAAAAAATTGCAGAAACTTGATATACCAGGTCGATGCACCCACTCGTTGAATTTACCAACCAATTTCGTGAGTGCAAATGTGTGAAAGTCAA